CTTTTAAGCTGCCGTCGAAGGCTCCGAAACCAATCGGTGTAATTGATGACAGGAATTGCAGCGTTTACAGCGCTCGCGACACAGCGAGGGCCAGGTCGATGGTGGTTGTTGCCGGTTGTTTAATGGAATTGGAACGGGATCCCGAATATGGATGAGTAGGGTAGCGCACATCCCGAGATACCGTGATGGTGTATCGGATTTCCTTAGTCCAGGAAGTCGGTGTTGTTTCGAGCAAGATGCGCCGCCACGAAAGCTATCCATGAATGGACCGGCGGATTCTGAATCCTTACGCGACATCTGGCCTCCTGGGCCGAGGACATCATCTTCTTATTGTCAAACCTCCGTCGTACAAGCGAGACACTTCGCGGCAATCGAGACTGTCGTTGGATCTCCTCGAGAGATGTTTTGAGACGTTTCGAGAGACGTGACGCAAGACGATCCAAGAATTTTCTAAGAATTTTAAGAAAATCTACCTAGATCACAAAAAAAAAAAACTTAAAAATGTTGATCGAACAATAGATTGCATTAGATCTTTCAAGTCGTGGTGTGTTTTTAAAATAATAATGATAATGCAGATCAACGTGCGTACATTGATATTCTAAAATTATTTGATGAAGTACAATACCTTTCTCGATTTTATGGTCGAAAAATAATGATGATCAGGTATCGCAGGAGTATTAAAAACACGATGTTCTGCTTTACTTCATTTTCCCCTCGTAGCCCCTCATTTTCGTACTTGTGTATATATTTTTACATTTTAATTAACAAAAAAAAAAAAAAAGATAAATAACCAAAATTAATCTAATTTCGCGTATCGTTCGATGTTAATATTTTTTCGTAAAGTACACTTCAAAGTTCTAAGTTTGTGGATCGAGGTTTGTTAGAACGATCGCTCGTAGTGAAATTTAATCGGAAGTCCAGTTCAGCCGAGCCAACCATCGGCCCTGTCAGCATTATCTTCCATGGGTAATAATCACAAGTGATCGTTTGCGCGTCGCGGGGGATTTCCGTTTCGCTTCGATCTTGCGCTCTCCTTTTTTTCCTGCTCGTGCCATTACACGCGTACCATTTGTCTTCCGTGGAACGAACGGTCCATTGTCTCGTGAGTTTCTCAATCGGGGACCGCGCCGGAAATCGGTCATCGAAACCGCGCCCGTACATATACTGTACATATATTGTACGTGCATTGCGATATGTATCTGCGATAATCTCGTAAAAGCAACTCCGATAACTATTTCGGTCGAGGGCGATCCCTCGATCGAAATAGCCCCCATTACCAAAGTTCGTAGTGTAAATAACATAATACTCTTAGAGTATGATAGAAACTAAATTATCAAGGAAGCGTGGAATTGACACGTCCATCGGTTTCTGGAGCAATTATTTAAACGAGAGCTAAATAGGACATGTGCTCAGCCATCATTAGCTAAATAACACACAAAATGAGAAAATCTAATTCTCGATGATATCTACACGTTGAGTTATACGAGACGATGTCCAAATATAACGTCGAGAATCCCATAGTAATTGAGTT